CCATAGACACAGGTTCGACAATAACCGACTTCACAGTAACTGATGCGTCCACAATCCTGGACACAGGTTCGAGAATAACTGACATCACAACAACTGATGCGTCCACAATCCTGGACACAGATTCGACAATAACCGACTTCACAGTAACTGATGCGTCTTCAACCATGGACACAGGTTCGACAATAACTGATTTCACAACAACTATTGTATCTGTAACAGTGGGCACTACTTCTACTATATCAAGCACTGATGCGACAAGAACGGACACAGTTTCTGCAACGGGAATTGCTACGACAAGTACTGATAATACAACATCAGTCAGTGTTTCTATAGCGACAACTTTGACAACAACTACAGGTAGCGTGACAAGCAATTTTTCTATAACAACGTTGACGTTCACTACTACGAATGTTCTGCGATGCAATGAATCAAGTGAAGTAGACCTAGGCAATGGTAGTTGCATGTCGAAAGAGGCTGTCCGGGTATGTTAGTGAAGTATCATTTTGTGTTGTGAATTTTTTTTTTTGCTATATAGATGTTTGCGGTAAGCACTTTGCGGAACAAACCTAGTGACGCCAATGTCACAGTCACTGTCCTTTCCCTATATTTTCATGCAATCGTGAATTCAAATTTACCATCGACTTCGGAGAATACTTTATCACCTGTTGAAATTGATCGATACGTTAACACGTCGAGTAACGCTACTTTGGTGATGAGTCGTGATACATCGTTCATTATGTTCCAACAGCTTGGTGAATTGTCAACTGTAACAATTGTCGGTAGTGCATTTATACGTGGCAGCGGCGGTCAAGTTCTCAATATTTCAGATTCAGGCGATGTGATCGAATCAAACTTTTCCGCAGCAGCTACGATTAGCAGTCAATTTTTAGCTGGTGTCACATCTCTCAATATGCTGATCATTGATAAGCCTACAACATATGAAAAGATAGATAATTCAACAAATAAATCCCTTGCATCATCAGTTATCGTTGTGGCAGTGAAAAGAAATAGAAATGTATCAACTCCGCTGAATATATCTCTTTTTTTCCAAGTCTTGAAGGAATATCAACCCAATGTAAGCGCCAATTACTTTTGCTCATTTTATGATACAACTCAATCGACATGGAATGAGTTCGGTTGTATGAAACCTCGATATAATCTAGCATTTGATCGATATGAATGCAGTTGCAATCATACAACGACGTTCGCTCTTGTTTGGTTACCTAAATTACCTCTAACACGCAATCTCAACGCACAAGACATTGCATCACTTATATTTCAATCAATATCAATTTGTTGCTTTCTAGCAATAATTATTCATGCAATTTTTATACGAATTCGAGATCCAATTATGAGTTTACGAACAAATGATGCCCTACCATTAATTTCATATGCAGTAACAATGATTCTTTTTGTTTTTTATATTGCTCTAGCAATGACAGTTTATACGAAAGAAACATATGATGACGAAGAGCAATGTTTTTTAAGTTCAAGTGTGTTAATGTTTTTCGTTTATTTCTTTTTAATTTTCATGTTTTGTGTCAAAACAAGTGTTGGATATTTTAATTATCTACGATTTGTTCGTTTATTTCCTGAACCATCATATCGACGATTGTTCATATTGCTTGTCATTTCATTTTTTATTTCGATTACATGGGTCGCTTTTGCAGCTGGATTTAATTCTAATGCATCGTTTCAAATTACTAAACTGTATCCATATAAATTATGTTGGTTTACTCGTGATGTTATTTATTATTTTTTGACCATACCTGTTGGTATTTTTCTTTTAATCAATATATTCATATTTATTCGTGTAGCTCAACGTATCCTACATCATGTTCGAAATGCAACATCACCTCATCATTCATATGAAAGAATGAAACAATGTGTAGTCATTTTATTTTTATCATGTGCTACTCAAGGTATTGGTTGGCTTCTTGGTCCATTTCTTACGTTTGCAAGTGAAGACACAGCGAATGTTTTAGGATGGTTTTTTATTATTTTTAATGGATTAGAAGGTTTATGGGTAATTCTTATATATTTAGTCGTTCGATCACAACGTATGGATGAACAAAAACGTGTGACAACTGTGAGAGAATTCAGAAAATCGCAGCAATCAAAATCAACGTCTCGTAGATACAAACAATCTTCGAGAGAAGATAATGAACAAGAAGATCGTAGCATAGGAAGAGAAACAGAAGTAAAACATAGGAATACTGATAATGAAGCATCGCGCTCATTTGATGATCCACGTGATATCATAATGATGGGTTCTCGTGTTGATGGCAATACTCTTACATCATACTGTTAAAACAATAACTACTGCAATAGTATTCATTTAGCCACATTTTGTTTCAATAACACTATTCAAGTATAATTTATAATTGATTGTATTACTAATCTATTGATATTATATAAAATAATATTGAAATTCATCATTTTTTTATCTAATTGTTCACTAAACAGATAGAAAATTCTCGAGAAGCGAACAAATATATGTACAAGAGTGTCTAAAAGTTAATTACACTTTCAGAAAAATGTCGTTTCTACCTTTTTAGAATTACAAAAGTGGTCAAAAACTGGCATCTAATTCCTTGAGAATGGCGGGTATCATTCAAAGTTTTAGTATTTATCTTTCTACTAATAAGAGAGGTATATAACGTATGTTGCAAAGTTTTTTTTATAGGTATCCTGAAAACGAAAAATAACAAAATTTTCTTTTGTTTTCTGTATTGTTATAATCGAGAGTCTTTAAAAGAATTACTTTCAGTATTCACTGCTGTCTTATTGACATAGATATCAGTGTTAATGTTGGAGAGTGAGAAAAACCAAAAACATGTTGCTGAAACGTTATGTTTTTTAATTGAAAATGCTGAATAGCAAAATTAAGTAGAAAAAAAGAGAAAAAAAGATGATATAAAAATAAACGAACAGGGAAAAGGTGAGAGAAAAATAGACTAGCAAAGAAAACAGTATGTTTCACATTGACAAATATTCCGGCAAGTGAATAAGTAATAATTGATGTTTTGCCTTCATGTATTTCACTAGTTTCATATGGAAGAAGAGTTCAAACTGTTGATTTTTACTCTTATGAAAACAAACTGCAATAAGCTTATCATGACAAAAAAAGCAAACCACCTTCGTCTGATTTTTTGATTCGTTCCAGTCTTTTCTATATAGATGATTTTATATAATCCTTTGATGACACTTCATTTGTAACTTGAAGGAGATCCGTTGTTCCAAAAAACGAATAGCAATGCACCAATTTTAAACTACAGTAAGACCTCTTTAGTCTGAGTACCATTGGGACTTAAAAAAGTACCCAGTTTACTGAAACGCTCATTATTGGGAAGCTTTCGGATGATTTGCTTTCAAACGATGGAGATTCATTTACAATAGTCTCTCCATGGCATAAAATGACCTTTTTTATTCTTCTCAATAATTTATTCATTCAAATAATCATCTATCTTTCTCAAATGATAAATTTTCACGACGAAAATTAATCTTTTCTAAAATAGCTATGAATAGTGCTTTGAGCAGAAATTTTTGGATCAAAATAGATGTATGCAAGCTTGGACCCAGTTTCATATATAGCTTGATAAAGTTGAGGATATTATGTAACAGAAAATGAGTCCCTTTGTGATAAAAAAAAACGTTCAGAATTCTTTATCAATTCGGTTTTTTTAGTCAAAGGTAAACCGATACGTCTTGGCATGATTCAATTTAACTAACTGTTATCACAAAGTGACGAAATGTTTCATTACTGACTATTTTTACTAAGAATTTTTCTTCTTCTTTAGGACAAACAGTTAGTCTATCTTGTACTTTTTGTGTTACTTGATCGTTTATTACAATGTAACACGCACAGTATAAGTTTTTTTCTCGTTCTGCATGTAACTGGTAGAACACATTGCTCACATTATGGAGGTTGTTGTTACTAACGAGACTGAAAAAAGCGCTCACAATTCAGAATAAGGAAGTGTTCGTAATCGAGAGGTTTTACTGTATTTCTTAATTTTCTCAAGATGAATTCTTTTTGATTCTGAGTAGGAAGTAATGTAATAAGCATAAACAAGTCGAACAAGAGAAAATATAAATATAAAGCATGTTCACAGAACTCGTATTCAGAAGATTTTTCCATCTTGGACCCATCTTAGTTTACTAAACGTTCTTTGAATGATATGAAGAGTCCTATCACTTATTAAATTTATCACCTGCTATTGTTAGAAATGAAATGCATGTGTATAATTAGATTCATTAACTGATTTCAAATTTTAGTCCGACACACACATAAGCACTGTTGCATTTTGTACTGACGAATGAAAAACCTGCACTACAATCTTAGACAAATCGTTAAATTGCTCCCATTTTTCTGGATTCATGTGCTCTCTGATTACTTTCTTTTGTTCCTTCTTCTTTCTGAAATTGAATTATTAACTTTATTTATTGGCAAAGCGATGAGACTGGAATAAGCACCTGCATATAGCGTATTTATTATTTGAATAGTCTTTTTCACATCAAATCGAATATAAGAGTAATGAATCATTATTTAATGACACATCGACCAATATTTTTATTATCGATTATTGCCCAAATATATAAGAGACAATAAGCAACCTAGTTTAATAAATATTTTTCTATATTTTTTCGAAAATTGAAAGAAACTTCAATTAGATCTCAATAGAAATTTTACATGTTTATATTATGATGTCAACAATTCTCGATAGTCTAATCTCATGTGTACTTAATCTTATTGTAATGTTCACTTTAATCGATATTACTGTAGTCGCAATCATTTAGTCTTCTACTCTTATGCCGTTTTCCCACGGATTATCAATAGATAGTATGGGTAAACTTGATGCTCAAGAAATTATGTTATTTCTCTCTCAAATATAATCATATTTATTCTTGTGGGTCGATGTTTGAGCAATTTTATCGGCAATTTCAGTAGAAAAACACGGAAGTATTTCTTTATGTCGAAATAAATGAATTTCCAGTGAATATGAATGAATTGCAAATGTATGGTACTGTTTTTCGAAAAAAACAAGCTGAAAAAAGTTTTCGATTTGAAAGCTGATGATTATTTAGTACATATGATTGTACAATATGAGAGAAGAAAAAAAAAGTTCTCCCGACTATCACAATAAGTATGGCTGTGATATACAATAATCATTCAAAACTCATAAAAGATGTCTGAATACAACTTGTTTTACTTATACATCGAAAAACTTGCGAAATACGAGAGTTTACTAAACGCGTTAAAAATACTTGAGATTATATATAGAAGGAACTTTGTTTTTGTGGCTTGAAATATGATTGAGAATCAAAGTTTGATATATCTCGACTAAATTACTCTAATAGTGTGTTTTATGCTGTATATTCATAATGTCACATTATTTCCACTAAATGATTACCATAAAGAGTTCTTCGTTAATATATAAGTACTCCGTACAAACATTACCAGTCACAGTACTTTGTATAGATGAGAAGATATGTCTTCATTTAAACAAGTATCTTGATTTTCATCTCAGTGGGGAACTGTTATATATCTTCTAATCTCGTGTGATATATTGACATTAATTGTTTCTTTTTCTCATGAATTATAAGTTTTCTGACACTGATAATTTGAGTGGTAGTTGATCACAATGAATAAATGAAATGATGAAAGTGTCATCTCAAACTGCCGCATCTTAAAGAGAGTTATACGTCAGAGAAAATGAAAAGTCTTGCGTGACAATCAAGTGTCCAAGTCTTATTTCACAGTTTTTATAAACAAAGAATGACTATACACATAATGTTCGGAAACAAATATAATACAAATCGCGATGAAAAATCTAATTAATTTCATATTCGAAAAGCATAGATTATTTATTACAAATTCAATTATTTCTAAAGTTCAAATGACAAGAGAACAAATCAGTTAAACGACTTTTTTATCAATAGATTACCATAAAAATCTGTCTTCCAAGCACTGTCTGCATACTATTTTGAGATTTACTTACGATAAAAATTGTGACTTTTTTTTGTGCACTGTTAAGGACTTATTAAAAGAGTCTAATCTACAAAGAATCATGAAGATTGATTAAGAGTCACTTGAAATATTAAACTTTTAGATATAAGAAAATAATCTTACAATAAAGTTGCAACCCGTCCATAAAAATAATATCTGCATAATTTCAAGACAGGATATTATCATAGAAAAAAACCAGCATGTATCCGTCTGTTGGATAAAAAATTTGTAATCTGTACACTACATTGTGTGAGTTACTTGGAGACAGAAGCTAACTTCTAGAAAACATTTGGTTCGTGCATATTGATGATGATCTTTTTTAGAAGATTCGACAAGTTTCTTTTGTTTTAATCGTTCTGTATAATACAATAACATAAGACTCAAATTGTCTTTCAATATTGTTATTTTGAATAAAATTCATTCATTTGTATAGTCCTGTAAATATTGGATTAAGTTGATAAAAGAGAAGAAAAAGAAACATTTTCTTTTGCATTTTATCGGTTAAGAGTACTCTTAAAAGATAAACCTTGATAACTAATTTTTGTGGAATATCTTGCAATGCTGTAATAGAAAGCAAAAAGAAAAAGAAAACTGACTGATTCTGACGTCAATAATCGTGAAAAGATAAGCTTCGGTTTCATACCAAACAAAAATCATGCAACGATCAAAACAAAATGACTTCCACTCCAGCATTTTCCATGCCAAATAAATGTCTATAACAGTTGTTAGACTAAATATATTTTTAATGTAGGATAAAGTAAAACCATAATCGATTATCTACTAAGAAATGAAATCCTTTTAATATCTTTTGAATTCTTTACTTTTCTAAATTTCGTAAATAAAAATTCGAAAGTTAACACAATAATAAAAACAAACAAGTCTTGCTGATGATGATAGGTGAGAAAAGCAATATCATAAAGCTTCGTTTTCATCTCTTTCGTAATATCGATGAAATATCAACAGGCCAGTTTAAATTCATTTCATCAAACACAAATGTCTTTTCAGTGGTAAACTCATTTTAACCTAAATTAACGATTCTTTTTTTAGATAATCTAGTAATGATGAAATTTAATGCAAGAAATTATTTTACATATCTATTCATTTTTTATACATATATGAGCACGATATATTCATATGATTTTACTGAATTTGTAAATGATAGTGATACAAACGTACAAAGTCAATATATACATGGAAAACTTGGCAAAAGTATTAGTTCTATACGCGAAGATACACAAATCATTGTAGCTGACACACCAATAATCGATTTTCGATCTGAAAATGATACAAGTAAGAATGCTTTCATTTTTCAAGATTTTTCTGGCACAATCGAAACATGGTCTAGGTGTGAATTCTGTGTAGTGATGTACTTTAGAATCACACCCACACGTATATATCTATACCCTCAACATCTCATACTTTAATATTCTTTTTTTTCCTTTTTAAAGCTTCATGAAATTTTGAAATAAGCACAACTAAAACTTTTTCATACGACTGAAACTTTCTGTGTTACTGCCGATTTGACGATTTTCGATGAAATATCTTGTTTATCAATTGACTGTGGTATTCGATTGTTCCATTGCAGATAGCGCTCATGGAGGTTAAGGGAGAACTTTATATCTGTCGAGAATTAAGCAATAGTAGAATAAAGCTAAAACCGACAACTTCACATTCCCTTGGTCTGATTCTAGTCTGCCGACAACACAAACATTGATTGTTGACTTTATATGCGAAAAAATACGGTCTGACATTCTGGAAAAAAACACTCGCCCAGGAGCCCACCCGAGTAGACTGTCAATCTGTTGGAGTTTGCTACGATTCCAGACTCAAAATATGAGTTTTTCTCAGTTTGGAGTTCTGATTTCCTCCGACTAATAAAATCACTCTCGTGTGTCTAATCCATGTGCTTTTGTTTGATCTACAATATATTCGGAGAAAACTGTTTTTACTTCTTTCATAAACCCCAATCTACCTGTAGAAACGAAACAAGTTTGATAAACTAATGTCCGTACTAGAATTAAAGAGGGATCAGTATAAGCACAATAACTGGATAATGGCAACAGCTAGCAACCTGCTATTTTCACCAACAGAAAGAGGAGACTTCGGGATATCTTTTCCTCCGATAATGCTTAAGACGAAATCCTTTTAAAACTAATGATCTTCAAAAAACATGCAACATGATATATGAAAATGGCTTGCCATTTAGATCAAATTTTGATTTTGACCTGTGATTTAGATAGTGAAACTTCAGATCTATAGTTCAAGATACAATGCAAATGGTTCTCTTATTACATTTTAACGTTGAGCACACGGAATCATATATTTACACGCGCAAATGTTAGGAAATTTTGCTGATTTTTTTACTAACCTTTTGCACTTTTTATCATAATAGCTTGACATTTTGATGAACGTGTAATGAAAAGTAAGAAAGCGCACTGTATCTTGAATTATAGATCTGAAGTCTCCATCTAAATCAAAGGTCAAACTCAAAATTTCATTTAAATCGCAGGTCAGTTTCATGCATTCCTTTTCATGCTTTTCGAAGAGGCTTAATTTTACAACTATGTCATCTTATATATTATAAAAGAAACAGATGTTGCACGTATTCCTTTTTCAATTGGTGAAAACCTCAGGCTCCTAATTGTTGCCGTTGCCGAGTTATTGCATGGACACCCACCCATCTTTAACTCCGGCACGAACATTACAGATTTTCTCCACCTACCGACGAAAACTTTCAATGCTCATTAATAACTAATATCCTCAACTTTACAAAACTATTTTCAAATACCACTAATATCCATTTATTACGCATTACCTGGCGATGAATATGTTCACATAAACAAAGTATTTAGCTATGCCGACCGATCAAAGCATTCTACTAAACTCAGCAACCACAGTCACGCCTGTGACAAATGCTAATGCTAATAGCACATCTACATCCATATTAAACTCTGAGTTCACAATACCGCATAATGAAACAACAGTGATTTTCAGTTTTGAAATGGAAACTCCTTCACTGTCGGCTAGCGTCATGACAATAATGGCTTCCTTTACGACTATTGATTCTCCCACAACTATTAATTTCGAAACAATTTTAGATGTTAGTGCCATGAAAGGTACCTCAGCAACTCAAGAATCTACAAGCATAGGCATGGATACAACAATAACAGAATCTGCAACAACTACTGATTCATCAACCATGAACATGGATACGACATTGATAGACTACACAACAACTACTAATTCTACAAGCATAGATACGTTTACGCCATCCATCGATTTTACAGCAATTCCTCCATCTGCCACCAATCACACAGTTTCGACAATAACTGACATCACAACAACTGATGCGTCTTCAACCATGGACACAGGTTCGACAATAACTGATTTCACAGTAACTGATGCGTCTGCAACCATGGACACAGGTTCGGCAATAACTGACATCACAACGACTGATGCGTCTACAACTATGGACACAGGTTCGACAATAACTGGTTTCACAGTAACTG